TGAGTGTTTTACCCATCTTTCATACTTGCACTTGTTACTTATTGTTGTTGAGTGTTTTACCCATCTTTCATACTTGCACTTGTTACTTATTGTTGTTGAGTGTTTTACCCATCTTTCATACTTGCAGTTGTTACTTAGTGTTGTTGAGTGTTTTACCCATCTTTCATACTTGCAGTTGTTACTTATTGTTGAGTGTTTTACCCATCTTTCATACTTGCACTTGTTACTTATTGTTGTTGAGTGTTTTACCCATCTATCATACTTGCAGTTGTTACTTATTGTTGTTGAGTGTTTTACCCATCTTTCATACTTGCAGTTGTTACTTATTGTTGTTGAGTGTTTTACCCATCTTTCATACTTGCACTTGTTACTTATTGTTGGTGAGTGTTTTACCCATCTTTCATACTTGCACTTGTTTCAATGTTCATAAAACAAACGTTATAACTTGAGAAGGGGGAGGGGTTGGCTCGACAAGTCCACATTAGTTCTGATATTGAGAAATATCAAAATATCTGGAGATATAAAAGTAAAAATGAAACCAGTTGCACTAAATATATTAGCTGAAAACTACAGATGATATGTGATAAGCATGGAATGGCTACTTACCATCTTCTGAGAGCTGAACGTTCTCGTGTTCACAGAATGACCTTTTATCCATTTCTACATTGATCTGGTTCTCCTGGTTCTCCTTCCAATTCCTTGAGTTTTCGTGGGCACTAAGAGTAGGAGAGTTACAGTGTTCACTAGAATGGCACACAAAACAGAGTGGGAGGGTTGGGTGGTTCACTAGAGTAAAACAAAAACACAGTAAGGTGGTTATATCATTAACTAAAGAAGTAGCGGGGTAAAACAGCTCAACAAGGTAATACACAAAACACAGTAAGGTGGTTATATGGTTAACTAAAGAAGTAGCTGGGTAAAACAGCTCAACAAGGTAATACACAAAACAGAGTATGGTGGTTATATGGTTAACTGAAGAAGTAGAGGGGTAAAACAGCTCAATAAGGTAATACACAAAACACAGTAAGGTGATTGATTATACGGTTAACTGAAGAAGTAGAGGGGTAAAACAGCTCAACAAGGTAATACACAAAACAGAGTATGGTGGTTATATGGTTAACTAAAGTATTAGAGGGGTAAAACAGCTCAACAAGGTAATACACAAAACAGTGTATGGTGGTTATATGGTTAACTAAAGAAGTAGCTGGGTAAAACAGCTCAACAAGGTAATACACAAAACACAGTAAGGTGGTTATATGGTTAATTAAAGAAGTAGCGGGGTAAAACAGCTCAACAAGGTAATACACAAAACAGAGTATGGTGGTTATATGGTTAATTAAAGAAGTAGCGGGGTAACACAGCT